TAGAGGTGTTTAATTTTATGCAAAGATATTACAAGGTTAACTGATAAAAAGAATTTAGAGCCTATGTTACTACGTATTACTACGTATGGGGTGTAGTGTGGCAGGCCTCCTTGTGGTGCACCCTGTTTAACGCTGAATCTGCTACAGCCTTCGCCAATCTCTTGCTGTCTTGTACTGATTGTGAAGACTATATGAAGGTTTTTAAAAATGTCTTAAAAAACTGTCCTTTCAAGGGCACGGACAACCCCGGCCTTAAGGTTCTTTTCTGGAATGCCGGTGGCCTTACTATTGACAAGTTTACTGAACTTAAATATATTATTTCTAATGAAAAACCTGATGCAATTGGTATTGCTGAAAGCGGCTCATCTGCTGACAAGCTTGAATCCTTCCCAATGAAGAACTATAAATCATATTCTCTTAGACGTTTTCGCCAAATAACATCTGGAATTGCTATATTCGTTAAAGACACTCTCATTGCAGAACCACTGATTAAACATACCATGACATCCTCTGACTTTTTGGAAGCAATTGAATTGAGAGTGTGGAAAAACAACATTGGCTTTCGTATTTCATTCATTTATAATCCACCTCGAAATAAACCTGACCTAAATTCTCTCATTGTGGATTGGAATAAACACTCCATTATTTTAGGTGATTTTAACGCCCACTCCATCAGATGGGTTTAAGACCAAAACTGCCCTATTGGCAGTTTGGTAGAAGATTTTATTGATACAAACCAGATTGATTTTATCGAAAACTCAAAGGCCTCACCCACTTTTCTTTCATATGGGGGTAGTTCTTCTCATCCTGACTTATTGCTGTCTCACCCACGATTAACACCTTTGATAAAACACGACCTTATCATGGCTCCTGGTGGTGCTGGTCATAAGATCCTTTCTGTGATTATCTCAGAGCCAAGACTGACTAAAGAATCCAGAATTACTCGATGGAACTTGAGCAAGGCTAACTGGAAGAAGTATGCAGAATTAACAGATTCACTTTTGGGAAACTGCCCCTTACATGAAAATAATGACACGTCCCTTGATCGGATCGTGATCACAATCTTGCAATGTGCCAATGCTTGTGTCCCCAGGGGTCACATTAAAAATGCAAAACCTTTCTGGAATGATAAGCTTCAGGCGCACAAGGAAGAAAAAGACCATGCAAGAGCTAGGGCAGAATCCACTGGCCTCCTAGAGGATTGTATCTCCTTAAGAAAAAGCCAGGCCATTTTAAAGAAAGAGATTTTAAATGCAAAACGCTTTTCTTTTAGCAAGTTTCTGGAAAATATGAACTATTGAAAAGATGGACCAAAAGCTTTTAGATTTCTATCTGCTCTAAATGGAAAGCGCACACAACCTTGCAAGCAACCTTTGAAGGTTGGCAATAGAACTTCAACCTCAAACCAAGATATTGCCAAAATTTTTTTGAAACTTTATAGCAAGATTAGTAATTTTTACCCGATGACTAGGATTAAGAGGGGTGAAATAAATCCCTCTGGTGATAACCCAGAATGGAACTGCCTTTTCTCCTCACCTTTCACTGTTAAGGAATTTCAGAGAGGACTCTGTTGCTTGAAGAGAGGAAAGAGTGCTGGTCCCGATGGCATCCTCCCTGAATTTATTTTGGAACTTGGCGTTAAAGCTAAACAAACAATCCTTAATTTTATAAACAAAACTTGGGGTGGCACTTTTCCCAGCTTCTGGAGAAAGGCTGATGTTATACCTATTTTGAAACATGGAAAAGACCCGACGGACATCCAAAATTTTAGACCAATTTCCTTGACCTGTATCCTAAGTAAGCTAACTGAAAGAATGGTCGTTGATCGGCTTCAGTTCTTTTTGGACTATGGTGGCCATATCTCTGAGAGACAGGCTGGTTTCAGACGTGGATACAATACAACGGAACAGATTGTCAGACTTTCACAGCATATTAAGGACGGCTTCCAGAGAAAGCAAAGTATACTTGCTGTCTTCGTTGATTGTAAATCGGCGTTTGACAGAGTTTGGAGAAAATTGCTTCTTAGGAAGTTGCTTCATAAGAAAGTGTATGGAAATCTTTTCAAGTGGATTAGTGATTTTCTTTCACAAAGATTTTTGAACATTAAATATGGCAATTCTCAATCAGGGTATGGGCAAACCAGGCAGGGCCTTCCACAGGGCTCAGTTTTAAGTCCCGTCCTCTTTAATATTATGGTAAATGACCTTTTGAGCTACATTAATGCCGTTTCAGAGACTGAATCATTGTTGTATGCCGATGACCTTGTTATTTGGTCTACTGGCTCTGATATCTCTATGCTGGAGAAAACACTCAATTTGGCTTTAGAGGCTCTGGCAACCTGGACCCTGGACAACGAATTCAAGGTTAACCCGGAAAAGACAAATTTTGAACTTTTTACCCTTAGTACCAAAAAGTTTAATGTTAACTTGGTATACAAAAATAGTACTCTGGGTCGGACCGATTGTGCTACCTACTTGGGCATAACTCTTGATACCAGACTGACCTGGACTAAATACATAAATCAAGTGGCAGATAGCGTGACAAATCGCCTTGGTCTATTGAAACGTCTCGCTGGAATAAAGTGGGGTTCATCCCAAAGAGTCCTTGCTTCCACTTTTACTTCTTACATTAAACCAGTATTTGACTATGTTCAGAAATCCTTGTTACTGCCTCGGACAGTGTGTTATCAAAACTCGATTTGGTTCAAAACAAAGCACTAAGGCTCATCACTGGTTCTGCGATCTCAACCCCTATTTCTGCCATGCAGCTACAGACAGAAATTTATAATTTATCTGACAAACGAACTTATGTTGTCCTTTCTCTTGGTGAAAGATTGTTGAGAAAGGAGCACTTTTGGCCGTACTACAATCTTCCTCAAACTAGACTTAAATCTCAACATTCCTTTCTTTTCGAGTACCGGAGACTTGCAGAGATCTTTGAGGTCTCCAACTCCAAACTTTGCATCTATAGGCCACCTGTTTTTACGGGCCTTCTGAGATATGCCACTGCCAGATTTGACTTGGTACTGCCTGTTCGGAAATCGGACTTCCAGACCGAGTTGTATCCTATCGCTCTGGCCACTATACACGAGAGATACCCTTACGAGTAATGGCTGCAGGTTTTTACTGATGGATCCGCCACTTTTTCAACTGGTAGAGCTGGAGCTGGTGCTTACTCCAAATATTTCAGCCTTAGAGAACCTCTTGACACTTGGGCAGATAATTTTGATGGCGAAGTGTTTGCAATCCTTATGGCTATTACAGCTATTGGTGAACCATCTGAACAAAACATTGTTATCTTTGTCGATTCTCAGGCTGCTATTCAGACCATTTCTGAATATAATTTATATCCCTCTGAACACGAATTTAAGTGTAAACAAAGCATTGACTCTCTTCTTTGTTCTGGAAGAGAGGTAGTCCTCCAGTGGATCCCTGGCCACTGTGGCATTTACGGAAATGAACGGGCTGACATGTTGGCTAGAGAGGCTTCAGCACTGCATCCATCTTCTCATCCAGTTCCCCTTAGAAATGCAAGGCGGCTTCTTAAGAGCAAATGCAGGCACAGAACAATATCTGCTTTTAGGGACTTAGCTGATGGAAAATCCTGGGCTAGCCTTCTTGATGACCAGCAGCGCTCTCACCTTTCCCTCCTTCCCAGAGCTGAGGGAGTTGCTTGCCTTAGATTAATTACAGGACATGACTACTTGCAGGCCCATTTATTTCAAATTAACTTGGTCAATTCACCTCTTTGTGTGCTCTGTAACACTTCGCCTATGACTGGGGAGCATTTATTTGATTGCCCCTCTCTTCTTGACATTCATTCCTCTGATGACTTTTGTGCCCTCTCACCTTCTGGAGCTACTTCAGTATTGTATTGGACTNAAAAAAAAAAAAAAAAAAAAAAAAAAAAAAAAAAAAAAAAAAAAAAAAAAAAAAAACAATTACTACCTACAATTGCTGTCAATTTGTCTGTCGAAATACTTTGGCATGCGGCCCTTCATTGGTCAATCTGCTGTGCATGTGGTCCTTTACTCAAAAAGGTTGCGTACTTCTTGCTTAAGCAAACTAAAATTGATAAAATTGTTTGTTATATTAGTTTTAATGCACTAAAAAAACTAAAAGCAAAAAATACTTTAGCGCATATATTTACGTTTTTAAGTATTTGCATAAAAAAATTTTTTTAAAGCATTTTGTGATTGATCTCTTCCATACTGATATTCGGCTATGTGTGGTGTTTAAGTTCAGAGATATGTGAAATAATCTATGCAAAATATAACAAATGATTATACAACACTAAATTCAAAACAATGCAAATCCTCACATTTTAAGAGTTACATTATAAAGATCTAATGTAATTTAAAGACATGATCGTCAACATATCACATTGGAAATATTTAATGACCTAAAAAAGTAAAAGACTAAGCATAAAAAATGAAGAATAATGGGAAATATGACTTGATAATAGTTACAAAATAACATTTGTCACTTTAAGATCTTTCAAAAATTTTATTATTTTTTTTTCTTAATAAGTACAGCAGAGAACCTATTATCCGGAACGATCGGGGCCATCGCTATTCCTAATAACTCATTTTTCCGGTTTTTTGAATCGCTACAAAGAGCCGTTTTTTTTAATTGTCAAACTCAACTAAAAAATATATATTTAGAATAATTTAAAAAAACTCTTACTTCTTTTGACAATGTAGGGAACTAACGATAATTTCTAAAATGATGGTAAACATCTTTTAAAAAAGAAAGAATTCTGAAATCTTTTGAAGAAAAAAAAATTTTTTTTTCTAATATGGCGGGAAAATTTTGTTCCGGTTTTCTGATTTTCCGGTATTCTGATTTCTGGATAAGAGGTTCTGTACTGTATATTACTAATATAGTTAAGAAAGTGTTTTTTTTTTAAAAAATTAATACAAAATACTATATTTCTAAATATAATCTAATAAGTGATTAACGTTTAAGTAACAACTAAAGATGAGATCAGGCTCACGTTACTTTTTTGTCTTCAGGCTTTTCTAAGCTCCTTCGTTTTCTCTGCAGAGCACTAGCCTTATCATTATAAGAATAAGCTTCATGAGCAGAATTACGCAATTTGTGTTCATTTGATACAACTGAAGGAAGACTTAATAAATCAGGACGACATCCTGACTGAAAAAGCAAGAGAAAGAAGTAAGTAAGTTATTTTTTAATATTAAAATGCAAGACTGTCAATTAATAATGTCGACAGTCAAAACAAAAAAAGAATTTAAGTCACTAAATATTTTTTTATAACATAAAAAAATTTCAATTAAATAAAGCAAACAAAATTTAAATAAAACAAGACATCCTGGCAATATTCATGATTAATTAAAACAAAAAATAAATACCTCATGCACTATAATTGCTTCTTGATCCATTAAAATATCTTTACCACAAAATTCACAAGACACATACATATTTTCATCAGGGGGAGCAAAAGGAGCAACACTGTTTTCTTTTATCGATAGGGAAAAAAAACATAAGAATTACAAAGCATGCAGTTCCATTAAAAGAATCATAGCAAACAAAGCATTACAAAATTCACAAGGAATCTCAACTGCAAAAAAAAAAAAAAAAAAAAAAAATGTTTCAAAATTATTACTAGTTACTAGAAAAACATTAATTACACACACTAAAAATTCACATCTCTATAGCAGTTTTTTTTTTCTTTTCTTTTTTTCCCCTTCCTCTTTTTTCCTTTTGTTAATATTTTGCTTAAGTGCCATTTGATGCTAAGCCTATGAAATTCGGGATAAAAGAATACATTCAATAAATGAAGAGGTTATGCATTTTCTATGATTTACTTCTTCAACAATATATTTAAATTTGAAATTTAAAAGAATACAAAATTTTATGTGGACACAGATTTTCCTAATTCTAAAATTTTTCAAAGCATACTGCACAAACAGCATCCACGTAGGCAGTAACTTATATATATAATAGAAAATAAAAACAACACATTTTTTATGAAGGACAAAATTTACCAACCATAAATAAACATTTCTAAAAAGCATTGTCATGGGTTGGTAAGAAGAAAGAAACCTGGTCATGACAGCATGATTAGAAAAAATAAAGATAAGGAAGAAAAGAGTCTTAAAGGTAAAAAGAGTGAGGTAATTATCTTAAAATCATGAATGGAAGTAAAAATGAAGATCATGAACAGAAGTAGAGAAAAAGAAGCATTGTGAAAAACAATGAAAAGGAATGTCAGCAAGGAAACAAATAACAAGGTGCACAGCCAAATCTCTCAATAAAAAATAAGCACCTTTAAAGAACTTTTTAAGCACTCAAAAAATATCTTTAAGCACTATATACATTAACAAAATGCTATATAATTTTCAAAGACTTTACATGATCATGATAATTCAACTAGTTACTGAAAAAGAACTCTGCACTTGATTATATTAGAGTTGGTCCCCCTCATGTAGTGCCTAACTCCAACGTCTAGTGATTGTTTTGGTGTAGGTAGCATTACAAAAATCTTCTAACATACCACTGTCCAGAAGTAATATGATTGTTTTGGTGCAGATACCGATACAGAAATATTTTTTGGGCAACTGCCCAGAAGTCACTAAAATTTATAAATATAGAAAGAAGAGAGCTAGCTTGAGTTTATCTTTGAATAAAGCATTTGCAATTCAAAGAATCTAATCTCTAAATAAATAACTAGTATATCTCTTACTTATGAAATACTAAAAACTTTCTTTCGCCTTTTCCTTCGAATAATTTTTCTTTTATATTTCCTAGATTTTCTTATTCAAGGCACAAGAAACATTGGGCTTGGTTTTGCTAAATTTTTATAGTTTGAGTAATCAGATAAAGCGATAAATCAACGGTGGTCGAGAACCCACTCCTACTAAGTATTTCAAACAAATACGAAGAAAAAAAAAATTCCTGTTTAACCCGAAACGAAAAACAAACAAACATACGATTAGCTTCATCAAGAAAATATTCATCTTGATATTCCGTTTTAAAGCCCAGAAATATATGGTCAATTATCCTCGTTGAACTGTGCTACCGTAAAGTGCTCGACTTCGCGCGCAGGTCGTTGGGAAATTGTGATGGCATGTCTTCGGATCATCCTCCGGGATGTTTCCCAAACCGTCGCCAATAGCCTATTGTACAGCTCTAATGCGACGTAAATTAACAACAACAACAATATGGTCAATTAATTAAAATAAGTAGGTATATTTCAATTAGTTACAAAAACTTATCACTAACAGCATAAGTTTGCATTTTTAGCACAGAAGACGTTCACTATTTAAATTGAATTTACCATGAAAAACTTAATTTTACAAGTTACAATAATAGTTACCAGTTATCATTGCTTTATCTGTAAAAGTTTCAGTTTCATAACATAACCACCTCGCTCCTTTAATAATTTGGTATAAATGAACAAGTTTGAATATTTAGTTTTTGCTTGAACCTAAACTACAAGAATTTTTAAAATTCTTTTCCATTTGTCTAAAAGAGCTCAAGTCTTTTCCACATTCATGATTAAGTAAAAAAGTTGAAAAATAAAATTACATTTCATTGATTTATTAAAATCAAGGGATTTAAATTAAATTTTCAAAAATTTCTAAAGAACAATCAATCAATCAATTGTCCAAGTTTCGGTTTCATTTCTTCAAATTTCAACTTTGAATGTTTGTTTATCATTTAATCTCAGAAGGGAACCTGAAAGTTATTATTTCAGTAGAGAAACTTAAAGTGTTAAAATTTGTGATTATAATTTATTTCCTTGACCTTTGGCGTAAGTTATATTTAGTTATTTCCGGTCTTAGCTATTTTAAATAAAAAAAATTGAAACTTTTTAACGTGTTGCAGCTGGCAGAAATTTAAGCATGTCTCAAAAGTTTGTTTAGTAAATTAATTTTTAATTACAATGTAAAAGCTGCACTAGACATAAAATTGTAGAAGTTATGTACCCAAATTTCTTAATAATAAATTTTTACTTATAAATTTCATAACTACATTTGTGTGGAATTTTACGTACTTTTTACTTAGATTTAAGGTATTTTTTTCTCCGTTGTATTATTTTTCTTTCATTGAGAATATTTTCTTAAGCATAATTCATGTATATTCATTTATTGTTAAATAGGGTCAGAGCTTATTCTAGGCAGAAAAAAGGGTAGTATTATTCTAAAAAGGCAATAATTTCTTTCTATGGGCTTTACATGTTCTATTAAAATAAAAAACATTGTCAATTAGTAAAAGAATTTTTTTTTTTACTTTACTAAAAGTAGCCAAGCAATTATATTAATTACTTATTTTCATTAATAAAGTAAGATATATATCAAGTTAATGAGCTAATTAACTTAGTAATTTATTCAAAATACATGCATATATTAATAAAATAATAAATTTATGTTTTTAAGTGTCTGTAGTTATGATTTAATAATTAAAATGATTAATAATAATTATGATTTAATGATAGTGGAAGTAACTGCAAACATTCAAAGACAAGTGCAACAAAGGGGTGTGATGGCTACTTTTCCTTTCCCATATAAATCTATGTATTGACAGCAATGACAAACTAAATAAAAAGAGTTGAAAATAGCAAAAGTTTAAAAAATCCATTGTAGCGTTTGGGGAAAAAGTAAAGAAGGGTTGAGGAAGGAAAGGGCAAGAAGGGTATCGAGCAGGCCCGTAGCCAGGGGCTGGGGGCGTCGGGACAAATCCCCCCCTCCCGAAATTCTGGGATTCAAACTTTTTAGTCTTTCTTTGAGCCTCTCAGTAAAAAGAAAGACAAAAACTGTCGAATCAAACTTTTTCCCTGTTCACCACCTTCGCTAGTGCATCAACTTCACTTGACCTTGTGGCTCATCTTTCCTTCGATTAGACTCCTTTCCTGGAATCAATTGTTTTTCAGCATATTAATTTATGCGAATTCTGAATCTACGCAGACTTCATTGACATCAAAAACCTCATGGGAGAAATGGAAGTATGGGTATCAAAGTGGAACCTGCGTGAACCCCTTAGTAGACCAGATACGGCAGTTTCAGCAATGGAAGAATGTGACAGTATCTTTTTCCCAAACATTTATTGCTTGTTATCAATACTGGCTACGTTGCCTATCACCACAGCAACTGCAGAAAGAACTTTTTCTACTATTAAACGCGTAAAATCAGCGACAAGAAATGCTACTAAAGAAGAAAGGCTAACCAGGGCTAACTTTATTAAGCATATTTCGGGATATTCCGATTTGTCCTAAAAAAGTAATTGAAAAATTTTCTTCAATTCCCCGTCGCATGTCTTTGTAAACTTTGTTTACAAATTGATTATAATTATTATGTAATATTAATTGAAAAATCATTATTATGTAATATTAATTGAAAAATAATTATTATGCAATATTTTTTAATTACTAGTTTAACTTTTGCAAACAACAGAATAAACAATATTTGTTACAATGTTTTCCCCCTACTTTGTCTGAAACTGTCCTTGCTTCTTACCATATCCCCCCCCCCCCGAAAAAATAGTCCGCAAAGCAGACTTTCTTGTCATCTTTGCTCCGAAACATCAGATTTTCAATCTCTTCAAACCGGGCACTATTTTTATCTAAAATTGAGATAAAAAGAAGCTTTTTTTGCTTTAAATTGCAAGAAAATGTATGAAATTTTTAATTATTTTTAAAGCATGTAAATTTTTTGCTTATCCATAGCTAAAAATATTGTTAAGCTATTTCAATACTAAAGAATCAATCCTTCTCCCTTCACTTTGCCATATCTTTGCAATGAAAGGTGAGAAAATAATACTGCTCATTCGGACAGCAGCTTCTTTTGATCTTTTCATCCAGACAACACAGGTTATGAGACCCCACGAGCTGAAATGATGTCTTAAATGTTCTCAATGCTTCTTCCCCACTGAAAATGCTTTCATTTTCTTATAAATTTGAAGACTGTATATAACACAGCTGGGGTAAAAAAAAGAAAGAGAACTGAAATATAATCTTTGAGGTGTTCATATTAATGAAATATTTATTCAGTCGCTTGATAGATGATCAATTGTGAATACATCAACTCCATAGTTCCTCATACCTTTCAGGTAAGCATTGATTTTGTTTTTTGTGAATTGAAGAAGATTTACTTTCAGTGAGGCATTAGCCGTTTCCTGTTAAGTGATGGGTAAGTGTTAAGGATGTAAACCTAATAATTGAAACCGACTGAGGACTAAAAACTCCTATTCAGTTTCATATGACTAACTTGAATATCTGTGTTAATAGGAAAATTATGTTCATTTATCTGTAGCTACATCTAGAATTATGTATTTATATCAAACTTTTCCATATATTCTTTTTTGTATGGAAAAAATATTTTTTAATGTTTAAATAAATATCCCAATAGATAGTTATTGTAGATTATTTAACTATTTCTATATCATTGAAAATATTCTAAAAGCAATTGTTTACTTCGTTTCCCTTCCCGTAAATGGACAACTATTGTAAACGGATAATTTTTCGGTCCCAAGAGTGTCCAGTTAACCGAGGTTTCACTGTATTTTAAAAAATGTTTTAAATTTACCAGATAAAACAGCTTTAAATATATGTAAATTTCTGCAATATAAAAAAATTATTCTAATATTTCTGTTTTTCCCATTAATATTAAAATTTTAATCCTTTTTAGTGAAAATTAAGATCCTCCTGATTAAAATTAATTTCTGTTTCAATTAAAATCTTTAAGTTAAAGCGGGAGTAGTCGGCCATTGTTGGAACAAAATTTACTGCACAATTACAATAGTTTTCAAAGTTACATATTTGAAAGAAAAAAAATCAGACAAATTTCTTTCTGTTGCTAAATATCTGCAAAACTAGTTTGTTTTTAATTTAGCTAAATTAGAATTGCTGGTATTTTTTATCTCTGAATAATATGGATAATCTTTAAATATTCTGTTTACTTAAAGGGATATATTGTTGCCGTCATTGCCTGTGCCAACGTTACTCTAGAGAAGTACTCACATAGGTACCTATACTATCTGGATACCTATACCTATATTTTATAGGTATGTCAGTAGTAGAGTTTGGTAAAACAAATAATCTAAATGATTCGAATCATGTAATTTGGATCAATGATTCTAAGCAGGTTATTGAAATCACTGATTCATATCGAGTTATTCAAATCAAGTGATTCAGATCACTGATTTGAATCATGTGATTCAAATTGGTGCAATCTAGTAATTTGGAGCACTGATTTGAATAGCATGGCTTAAACGTCGTAATTGGGAGTCACATTATTCAAATCAATTGGTTCAGAAAAAGAGAAGAAAAAAAATCAAAATTGCGAAAAATTCGAAACAATTTACTTACCTGTCACTATTTTTCTTTTAACTTATGTCAATGGAAAAAAATTTATTATTCTGTCTCATTAATAAATTCTTCTAAGTTAGTAAATGTACTTATTATTTCTTTTATATAATCATATTGTTTATGTTGCTAATTGCTATGAGGACTTTTAACTGTGGTAAATTTTGAGAAACTGTAAAAGAAATTTTTTTTAAATGTATTTTTTATTTGAATTGGTTGAATTCTTTAATTGCAAAATCTTAAATCCTTAATAAGGAATGCGTAAGAATCTCTTAGGTTTTAAAAGAATTTTTTAACTGTATAGAAAATAGCATTACTGTGAAACAAAACTATTGAAATTTAAGAAACAATTATTCATTATAACTTAAATCTTGTTCGATAAAAGCTGATTTGAATCAGTTACAAGTTGGTGATACGAATCACTGAATCAATTTATACGTTCAAATCACTCAAATCTGTAGCCAACTCTAATAAATAAATACCATTGCAATGAAATGGCTGCATTGCTCAAAAAGCTTAAATTGTTGCAATTACAAAATTTTGGATTGGTCTTTAAATAAGATCAGGTGACAAAGAAAGTGATTTTGAACAAAAGTGATATCTTAAAACTTGAAAAGCAGTAAGGGCGAAAAAAAGCGCATCACATAAAAAAAATTTTAAAAAAATTTGGAGTGAATGTTTATGAAACAGTGCATTGATAATGGTTAATTCTTCTGTTTATTTGTTTGAAGAATCAAAATATTAATGAATTCTGTGTTGTAAAAAGAAGAATTTAAAAATTCATTCCAAAATTATTAATTAATGGCAAAACAAATTAAGAGTGAAAATATCAAAACTAAAGTTTTGTGAAGAAAAAATTTTTTTTTTCCATCTTTCCATTAACAAAATATTCTGATATAAAGGAATTTTTTTCCCTTAGTTCTCAAATCTTTTCAAGTAGTCATTTGAATTCATTGGTCTTTCTTTAATTATCCAAATTTTAAAGGAAAGACAGATTCCCCTTTATAGCATACTGTAATATCTATCTATATATAATATATATTACAAAAATATTAAAATAAAAAAAAACTTAACAAGCCTGATTTAACATCTTCTAATTAATTATCTCTTAATTTTCCAGGAAAATTTTTTAAATTATGGAATTTCACGAATCTGATTATGTTGATGACTCTTTTCGTAAGTACATGTTCTATTGTTTTACATAATAAAACATTCATGCATAAATTACAATATTATTATTCTGAAAAGATTTTAAAAAAAGTAAATCTGGCCATGCAAGTTGAATTTAAAATGCTGTAAATATGTTTCATTGAGAATTCTGTATTTCGTTCCTCTGATTAATACATTGTTATCGAATAATTTGATAACAGTCTAATAAAGAGAAGGCAAATAATACATAAGACAAAGAAAAAATTAAAATTGGAGATTTATCAATACTTATCTAATTTTTTTATAATCAAATCCAAATATATTTTATTTTATTTAGATAATTAGATGCATGTTTTTGACATTTTTATTTGAAGAAGATTAGTAGTAATGGAAAAATAATAATGCAATTTTGGTAGATATTTCCTGATTATTACCCATTTGCTGTAACTAAAATTTGCCAAGGTGCCAAAAAGATTTTAAACTTGAAAATATTTTTTAAAAATTTTGTTCGCTTGGGGTTGATTACGACTTATGCTTTTTAAATAAGTCTCGTTCTGTGATTTTTTTTTAGTTTCTTGTGGGCCACTGCTCAAAAATCACTGAAACTTAGGGATTATTTCAGTATTGGTATCCATATTTAAATCTTCCCATATTTTACTGATCCTGTATAAGTCTGCCTCATGATTACCTTAATTCAATAAAACTTGCCACTAAAATAAATAAGGAGGAAGAAATTTTTTCCAGAGAAAATTGTAAGTGAAGTTCAAAACTTTATGGTTATAATTTATAATATAGTATACAGAGTTCTCACTAGGAAAGAAATAGAGCAGGGCACTGCCTTTCAAAAATGGGCACTATAATTTTTGAAAGGGCACTCATTCAACACCATAAAAATTTATCAAGAAGTGCAATATTAAGGAAAAACTGAATTTGATCTTCAATAATTTTTAAATTACCCTCTTATACTATTTTATGTGTATATTTCAAAAAATGATTCCCTCTCATTATCAGAATAAAGGAAAGATTTTATAGTTTATAAAAATAATTAAAGGCATGTTAATAGATAATCTCTGGGCATAATTTTTTTTTTCAAAAAAAGTAAACTAAGAAAAACTACTTACTCACAAACAACTTGAAAGTTTTTTATATACCTAGTTTAAGCTGAAAATTATGAGGAAAAAAAACATTTTAAGTTGCATTTTTTTAAGAAAAAAAAGTAAAAAATAATTTTAAAATTTAAAACCATTAAAAATTTTGTCAATATCCCTCTCTACTCAAAAAAGAGATAAGTATAAAAATTTAACAAGTTAAGAATAATCCTAACAAAGTAAATATTTATAATAGTATAGAATCAGAATTAAACCTATAAACACAGTTAATTTCACCAGCATGTAATTATTATTTAAACAGTGAATTTATTTTTTTTAAAAATTGATTCTGAATAAAAAGGCAGTGTTTTTAAGGGATGGGCAGCTTATTTTTACAAAAAGGACAAAGAGGGCTCATTTATAGGGATCGAAGGGCAGGCAGGGCAAACCGCCCTTATAGAAATACTTAAGAAGAACACTGTAGTAAAATGCTATTATATTATTCACACTATAGTATTTGACACTTATTGGGTTCTGGATCAAAAATAATGTATTTAACCCTTTGTGTGTTAGCCCCAGTTTTTTCCCAACTTTCAGATGCAAGCTTTCCTGCATCAAAAAAATCAGTTTCTCCATATTATTGAATTAGAAAATAGCACATAGCAAAAAAAAAAGGGTTTAATGTGTGTGGGGGTTAATAAATAAAGGAACTGCCTACATATACATAATACTTACATAATTTTCATATAATTTACATAATTTTCAAAGCGTTATCTTGACATTTTAAAAATACTTAGCGGCTATTTTAAGTTGTAATGCACATCTTATAAAGGGTGATATGATTAACTAAATGGTTCAAAAAGTTCTATATTAGTGAGCTTAAAATTTTCCTTTGGTGGATATTGTGTAAATGCATATGATTCTTTGGACTTTCTAGATAGAAGGGGTACTCAGTAAATAAATGAAAAGATTTCTAATTCTTATAAACTTGCCTTATTTTTACAGTCTTCTAACCCGTACTGGTAAAATGTGCAAATTTTTTAAAAAAAATTTTATCTTTGAAATTATAATGTTAATAATATACTTTATTTTTTAGTTGAAGAAATACAATGTGATAAATGCCCTTATTCATTTCCATTATATTTATTTTCGGAGCATGAGGTAATTACATTTTCAACTAAAGGATATGTTAATTTCTTTGTAAAAATAAATACAGTAGGCTCTCGAGTATCCGGCTCATGACAATCTGACTTCAATACTATCTAGTTTTATAAAAATGAGGAATTGCTGGAACTCCCAAACTCCTTGTAGGATGAATAATGAGGAATGATAAATCAGTCGTTTGCTGCCAGCCTCCACCAGTTGGCTTGCTCTATGCAAAATTCTTAAAAATTTTTTAGTTTGACTCTTTCAAGTTATTTATGTGGTTTATTAATAAACATTGGACTTTATTGAAGTAATCATATATTTTAATATGAAAGATTTATCATAGGAATGAGTGTAGAAAGTGAATCTCGGCCCTATCTAGCTTTTTTCTTTTCTGACCTACTTTTCCTCTGGATAGTCGGAAACCTACTGTATTTGAAGCATTGCTGTTCTAAACTAAATGTTCTAAAGTTGTTAGATAGTTATCATCATTATGCATATTATTATTTTTATTATATGTCATATGAATATTATGTATTGCATGTTGTTGTCTTATAGATTTTTTTTATCACAAATTCAGCTTTTTCTCCAAAATACATTTGAAAACTATTTTTTAAAAAGTTATGATGACAATTTAAAATAACTTCATTCTTATTAAAAATAAATAAATTTTTATATTGATTTTTAGAATTCTACATACATTGATTTTTGGAATACTTAATGTTGACCTGCTTGGTGTCCGGGAGAGCATACAGAGCAAGTGACAGTGGCTTACTATGTTTTGTTATTATGAATTTTTAGATTGACATTAATTTTATAATTTAATTATGGTTAATATAAGAACTTTAAAGGTGTGAAGTTGTAGACAAAACTTTTAAACTATATTTTTAAAACACTTTTTTTAGTTGAAATAATAAAGGCTAACCTGTATTACACTTATTTATAAGATAATATCAGTGTCACCAGAAAGAAGGAGTTGTGGAACATGATATTTTTCTCATAATTCTTTGGAGTAATTGAGCCATTATCAGTACATATTTAAAATTAATCAATGCTGTTTTGCTAACATATTTTCTGTTAATTTTTGTTTAAGTTATCAATATTTCTATCTATTTTTGGCAATGATAATTAGAATGTGTTGTTTTCAAGGAATCTGCTCTTTGTTTAACAGAAAAGTCAATATTATTTTTAGAGTTACAATTGTCTATAGTCTATTGCCTGAATCTATCTCATCCCTAATGACCATATAGATCCTCTACATCCACTTACAATTAATATAGTTTTTATTACAAATAATATGTCATCATGTTGAGTGTTGAGGAAAATGTTTTAGCATTCTATTTAATTTAACAACAAGTGATAAAAAAATGTTCAAGTGATATGTGTCAAAACCGGTCCATGACATTTCAGTCTAGTTGTTTTGATTCTGTTACCCTTTTAGTCCCGTTTGCCATATTGGTTCCTTCCCGATTCATTATCGTTACTAAGCAATTTGTCTGTTTCGATCTGGACATTATTTAATTGCATCGGTTATGTTTCAATGGCTCTAAATATAATTTTTTTATTTATTTAATTATTATTTCTAGTGACAGAAAATCAGGAATTTTAGTTAACCATTAAATAATGAAGAATGATTAAGTGTAGGAACGAGAAAATCAAATTTTTGTAACCCCTTTTTCCCCATTCTATTCATGGTGTGAGTGTGGAGGGTAATTGGGGACAACTTCTACCTACCCGCCTTTCCCAAAACATGTGAATTCCAAAAAATTTCCAACATTTATGTAATTTTTTTAGTTTATTATGATTGTAAAGTTTGAGGAGCAAATAAATAAATAAGAATTTCTGTGCTAAATGCCACCACATGGTATGATTGGATTACTCATTTCATATAATTCCTACCTTTAAAAGAAGAAAATGTTTAAAATGAGGCTAAAAGTTAGCGAACGAATGTTAATAAAATGGAAATAAGAATCATTACAATTACATTGGAATGTTTTGCATATTTGATGAAATTTTCAGTACATAAAACAGAAACGTTATGCAAAAGAAATTTAATGTGACCAAAATGACTAGATCATAACAATGAGACGAAAATGTTCTGCTTTGGTAAAGACAATTCTTAATACCTAAATTCTTTGTAAGTACACAAAATAATCATATTTATATTTTTCACACTATTATTTCTTTATTTCAAATTCAAATAGTAATATATTTAATGAGGCAATACTGATAGTTCTTATTATAATTTCTAATTAATTATCATAAGAGAATATGCAAGTCTAGTCAAACTTGTTATTTATTAAAAATGTTACAATGCACACAATTTTAATTGAAAAATTCATAGATTTATCATATCAAAGTTTGAAAAAATGTACCCCTTTAGAATAGAATGACTCACTGTTATCCTATTACAATTTGTCGAAACCTGAGGCAGTTCTTAAAGCATTGTAGAATGTAATTCTTAATATTTACGTTTATAATTTTGTTTTGATTTCAAAAACACTTTCTTACTTAATTTGGCTTGTGATTAAAGTTATATACGACATATTTAGTTTAAATTACTATTTTTGACTCTGGAAAACTTTTTTCTTTACAAATACAGTTTATATTTTCGTTTTTTTTTTCCATTATTCTTAGTTAAAAGGTATGTAGCTTATTTTTATAATAAAATTTTATCAAATGTCTTATTAAAAATGATAAAGAATTGTTTGAATTTTTTTCTTTTTAAGCTTATGTGCCATCCTCTGGAAGTTGTTACTCTCAGTTCCAGTGATACTGAAGATGAAGAAAGTGAAATAGCTGAAGTTAAAATAGAAAAATCAATTCCTCAAGCTTTAGAAGAAAATGTGAAAGCTCCAAGAGCAGAAAAAAATTTTGAAAATTTAATACAGGAAAACCTATTAGCTTTAGCTCAAGTGGTCTCAAAACCGGAGAAAACTAAAGCAGAAGAAAAGGTCCCAAAAAATACAGTAATAAACATTATTAAGATTTTGAATTTTCCCATTTTTATAATCTTTGTTTTTATGCCAGTTCATTATAAAATTTCAGAAGAAATGACCTTAGCTTTTTTTCTTGTATTTGAAATGCTTTTTGAATTGAATATTTTTCTCTAATAATCGTAACTGTTTTGTAAATTATTGACTCCAAAAGATTTAATCTACATTTTAATTTACAAATCGCAATTTCTGTTCTTAAATAAAATTATTTAAATGTTCTTAGTTTTAATTGACTTTTTTATTTAAATATTAGGGACTAAGACTTGAAATAAATATTAATGTTTATATTAATATTAATTTCTTATTTAATTAATATTAATTATATTATATTGAAATCAATATTTTTCTCTGATAATCATAACTGTTTAGTAAATTATTGACTCCAAAAGATTTCATCTACATTTTAATTAAGGAATCTCAACTTCTGTTCTTAAATAAAATTATTTAAGGGTTCTTATTTTTACTAAGTAAAAACTCATTTTAGTCACTAAGTAATTATTTAAACGTTCTTACTTTTTACTGACTTTTTTATTTAAATTTTAATGACTAAGACTTGAAACTTCCAGGTTTAGAATATATCTTTTACTGAGGTTTCTACTTGATTACAAAAATTAATCTTATAGTTCATGAGATTCTCATTATATTAAAGGAAAGTTATTGTCACCACTGTTGCACAAAAGTTTCACACTTCGCTTCTCACTTTCATTATGGGAAAACTATTAAATGAAAAAATATGAATTTCGCACGCTTCTAGAGAAATATTTAAGGAACATTCTGATATAAAAATTTTGCTCGTGCAGATATTAATTTTGTGTCACGTAATTCAGTTAGGCAAAAACTAATAGTAAGAAAATTATGATTTTTTGCAATCACATACTCTTTTTCCTGAAGGTGAGCAACACACCTCACTTATTTAACTCGTTAATTCTTGGATTAGGCTGTGGAGATCAATTGAATTAATTTTTTCTTTAAAATTCCAAATATTACAATTCTTTGTATTTTTGTTTTAGGTATTAAAAGATGTGTTTGCTGATGATATTCAATTAATAGATGACGACATAAAATTGGTAAAATTTCAGGCCCTTTTTTTGTACTCTGATTGAATGTAAATAAATCTTTTACTGTAAAAATATTTTTTCAGAAATGCTAAACTTTCAGTGGGTGCTGTTTTCATTCTTCTGATTGTTTTAAATAATTACTTATAACTGAGTATGAATTCCTTATGGCAGATTTCCGTGACATTGAGTAGCCTGAAAATGAGTGTAGTAATTATGCAGACGTATGTCTGTCTGCATAAATATTAGATAAGTAATTATGCAGACACGTATGTCTGCATAATTACTTATCTAATATTTATTAAAAAAAGTGCTTTAGTGTGAATAAGTGTATCATTGAATTTCATTTAATTTATGTTTTGTTAGATGATGCTTTTAATTAATTAGGTTATTTTAGTAATAATTGTAATATGTAAATAATTAAAATGCATATTTTTAGAATCCTATGCATTGCATTATATTAACTTTTTACCTTCTAGTAAATAACCTTCTGGCAATGCAGTATATAAAATTTCTGTTCTCCTTTAAATGCTTCCCTTAAATAAAATATGTATCAAAGTATTGAAATGTATATTTTCACAATCCTATGCATTGCAATGTATTATTTTTTTATTCTATTAAATAAGCTTCTGGGAAAGCAGTATTTAAAATTTCTGTTCTCCCTTCAAAAGCTTCCCTTAAATGAAATGCTTATCAAATAATTAAAATGCATATTTTTAGAATCTTATGCATTACAATATTTTAGTTTTTTTATCTTCTAGTAAATAGGCTTCTGGCAAAATAGTATATAAAATTTTTGTTTTTCTTTAGATAAAATATATATTAAATAATTAAAATGTATATTTTTAGAATCCTATGCATTACAGTATATTAGTTTCATTTCTTTTTAATATATTCTAGTAACTAAACTTTTGGCGAAGCAGTATTTCTGTTTTTCCTTAAATGTCTCCCTTAGATAAGACATACATTTAATTATTAAGATGTATATTTTTAGAATCCTTGTTATAAATTAAATTTTAAAGAAATACGTGCATTAGGAATTGCTAATTAATATTGAAGTCAGGGGGAAAAAAAGAAAAAGAATGCTATAGAAATCCTAACAAATCATTAGTGAGGAAGTTGATACTTAAAACATCGAAATCTGAGTGCTGGAAGAAACAGAGTGAAGTTGAAAGGCAATCAAACTGCTTTCTGTTTTCCTTAGTAGTGATTCATTAAATATCGATGACGTTTTCGTTTTTTCCTCGCTTAAATATTAACTTAAGACCTTAATAAATATTTTTTTCCTTCCATTTTTGACAAGGATTCCAAAAATTAAAATTAAAAGCAGTCGTTAACTCAGTATAAGTTATGAGGCTTCCTCATTGTAAGCAATAAATTGCTTTTATTTATTTCAGGAACAGGAAAAGGCATTAAACTCGTTTTCTGGTAAAGCAAAACGAGTTGAAGAAGAAAAGCCTAGTTTTAAAGCTCCACCAAATGTTCTGTTGAAGGGTCACTATTCCAAACCTCATATTCGAAATGATTTAACTGCTAGTGATAACGAAGATGGAGAAAGTTTAGAAGACTTCTGGAGAAGAGCAGAGGTCAAGCTTGCTCAGAGGATGCGGAAGATGAAAGAACCAAAAGTTGGCTCACAAATTTATTGAAATCATTGTCTGTTGTTAGGATGTATGGCACAGCTTACTTATGTAATGTTTATTTTAAAAAAAGTGCTTTAGTGTTGATAAGTGTATAATTAAATTTATGTTTTGAAAGCTGATACTTGAGTTTTTATTTCTTTTCTTCTTTTTGAAGTATGTATTTTGGAAACAAAATATTTAACTAAGTAGTATATTAAAATTTCCTAAAGTAATTTTGAAGGAAAATCTCTATAGTGCACACTGCAATAGGGTTTACTTAAAAGCAATAAGAAAATAGCTCCAACTATTGATTTTGCAAAATTCCATCTAAATTACATTCTATTGTCTCATAAATACAATCAATTGATTTTAAGAAAAATTATGATTGTAGTTAGTTATTGGAAGGTATTTTATTTGAAACAAAATCATAAAATTAGAATGAATCTAGGCTAATATAAAAACACTCATAAATTGGGTTAGAATGTTCCAATAAAAGCTAAAAATTGAGAAAGGAAGAATAAAATAATCCTTCCATAAAAAAATTTTTGAAACAAAAATTGACTTCCCTTCTTAGATAGGGGAAAGTGGTGTAAGACAGCTATTTCATGTTGTATATTTCATGTTGTATGCGCAATGGGCTATTGGCGACGGTCTGGGAAACATCTCTGAGAATGATCCGAAGACATGCCATCACAATTGTGATCCTCTGCAGAGGGGATGGCACCCTCGCTTCAGTAGCCCGACGACCTGCATGCGAAGCCGAGCACTTTACGGTAGAACAGTTTAACGAGGACCAATACCACACACACTCGGTCCCTACGCAGACTGATCCAAGTGGTCACCCACCCGCACACTTACAGTAGCCAGTGATGCTTGATTTCGGTGATCTGCTGGGAACCGTGTCTTAACGATCGCTCCACCGCCGGACCAGAATAAATATTTTTTTAAACTATCAGAAGCCATATTTCGCTTTAGTTACGCTTTTGAAACATTTTTTAGATGAAACTAAATTATATAAAATGAATAGTATCTGAAATAAAAAAAAAAGTTGTGTCCTAAAATTCAAAATTAATGGACTATTTGAAGGACTGTTGAAACAACTGTTCAACCCAGAAATTGACAAATTTAATCACGAACTAAAAGTGTTCAGTTTCGTACAATTTTTCACCCTTGAAAAAGTCGTAGATGCACTACTTATTTTATAGATAAGTTTTTCTAGAAAAATTTGAATCATCCGATCTTAGCCCACATTTATGCGACCTCTTTATTATATATAACGTTTCTAAACTTGTACATTTCGACAAAAAAAAAAAAAAAAAAAAAAAACTTGCTTGGAGAAAGAAATTAGCGATACGAAAGCATCTAAAATCAATTAAAAAGTTGCATGCAAAAAAAGATAAAAAACGTACCGTAGTGTATTTTTTAAATTTCGCAATATAAAGAAAAAATTCTATTTTAATTTTTTTTTTGCTCTTTTCAATGCATGAAATAAAAATACTTTCAGACAGGATTTATATATTTAAAATTTGTTTACAAAATATTATTGAGATATTTTGTTTTCGCTGTATTACGAGTTACGAACATGATGGATTCTGTTGTTAGTCAAATGCGAGTTAATTCTTTGTTATGTTCTATACATTCTTCTTTCTTTGCCCCTCATAAAATTGTTTACGAATAACCATGATTCAAGATCATAACCATTAGGTGTGTATTTAGTGTGCTTTGGTAGTATCTCATATTATAAGGTGAAATCGAAATTTCGATCACCTTCCAACTAACTAGAGGCTTGAAATTGGAATCCAATGCTTGATGATCAATGCACGATATATGATTCTAAACATAACTCAAAATACGTGTTTAAGAAAATAGACGTAACTATAAATATGTATTTTAGAAAATGAACACAATTCAAAATGCGTATTTAAGAAAATAGACACAGCTTATTGCACATTTAAAAAACAAAATTGACATAGCCCTAAATTTATTTAAGAAAATGGACACAGCTCGAAATGCCACTTTTCAATATTAAACCCAAATTTTAACAACTAAACCGGCCATTGCGCTTAGTTTTTTAATCATTACGCATAATCAATCACTACAGAGCAAAGTTTCGGGGTCGGTGTGACCCCGGTAATACATATGTAATAACATTACAAATTTAGTTTTTGTGGAGTGCTATTTGCATTTAGACCTCTAAACGATAAAATGGTATTTAAAGCATGAAATCGCTACCAATATTAACGTACATTTTCTACCATAATTATACATTTATTAGACCCGTATCCACCCTGTAAAAAAGAAAGGTTGACTTTTAAAGTCTTTTTTAAAAAGAAAAAAAAGGTGATTTAGGCAATTGAATATTACATTACGAATTATTCATTTGCGTAAATAACGAATTGGATGCTTACAAGCGGCTTCATTGTGGGTAAATCATGGCATTCGTCAATTCAGGAGCCTATCAGGTTTGGCACACCCATCACGTCGCTTACAGGTATCCAATTAAATTTCATTTCTTGGATACCTGTCACATACTCTGCTTTTCGAATTGCAAATACCCAATCCTCCACAAAATTGCACGAATTGTTCAGTTGCAAATTATTAAAAAAAAAAAAAAAAACAATACTTTTAAAAGTTGTTTGAATAACGAAATACTGTGGCTATGCCCATTTCCTTAAAAAGATATGTTCACTTTTTAAAATACGCAGTTTGGGCTATGTCTTTTTTTTTTCTTTTCTTTTTTTATGTAACAAGCATTTTGAGCTGCGTCAGAACAAAATAGCTCTCCAACGAGATGCTGATTCACAAAAGAGACTATATCTCTTTCAAAAAAGTATCGCAAACAAAAAGGCATATTAGATTGTAATTGATATATCTTTTTTTTTTTTGTTTTTTTGGCAGACAATTTTTTTTTTATTAATGGCAGACATAAAAGACAAATTTGTAGCCAAGAACAATATAAAGAAGGAACAAAAAACGGAAACAAGAGCTACAAAAATAAAGAGTCTATAGGTCTGTAACATATATGGCAGTACTTCTACTTTCGTTACTTGTACCGCCGGTACAAGTAAAAAGTACGTACTTTTACTTGTACTTCGTTACTTTTTAAATTTTGTACTTTTACTTGTACTTCGTTACTTTTTAAATTTAGTACTTTTACTTGTACTTTCGTTATTTTTTTAGGGAAAAAGTACAAGTATTTGTAACGGAAATGTCGAATGAAATCGTTACTTTTTTCTAAAACTCGGTAAGCTTTCTAAAAAAAAATTTAAAAAAATGCTGTCAAAATGCAATTATTTTGCAAAATGAATAAAAATATTAATTTGGAAGTTATTTTCATTCATTTCCGAGTTTTATGCATTTGTTTAATACATTTTAAACAAAAATTGTTGGATTTTGTTATTACGTTTTTCAATTTTCTTTTTGATCTCACTAATACATTTTTGTCTTAATACATTTTTTACTAAATACATTTTTACCTAGTACATTTTTTCCTAAAATTATGTTTATGC